AAAAAAAAAAAAAAAAAAAAAAAAAAAAAAAAAAAAAAAAAAAAAAAAAAAAGAAGTGGGCCCAAATTCCTAGTTGTTTTTGTATTTTTGTTATTGGACGATGGACCTAGAATGTAGGTTTGAGTAGCTTTCAGTCAAATGATTTTGTAGTGAGGTTCACTCATAGTTTGAATTTTAAAATTTGGCATAGGGTTCAGTCTGTTTCTCAGGATGGGATGTATTCATACCTTAATACTGCCTGAGCCTTCTGGGTCATTGGATTGCAAGTGCATGACCTTATTCCTGCCTGTTGTTTGTTTTGAAATTTTAAATGAGTATGAATATTTTATCTGTATGCATCGATATGCACCATGTAAGTAGTAGTTGTGATGTGCTACACATGGGTGCTTGGTCCTCACGGTGATCCAAAGGTGGTTTCAGGAACCCTGAAACTGGAATAGTGGATAGTTTTGATCTCCCATGTAAGTACTGGCAATTGAGCCCATCTTTATGCAAGGACATCAGAAGCTCTTTACTACTGAGCTATCTCCTGCTCTGTGCTGATTATTTATAATCAACATTTATATTGCTGTTTTCACTTGTCCCTTTGTAACTGTGTAAACATACCATACTTTTTTAGTAAAATATGATTGATGTTACAGTTTTATTTGAGACACTTCAGGTTTCTGAAGATGAAAATTGAACTTGAACGAATACAAACTCTTTGTAAGAACTTCAGCGAAAACCTCTGAGTTATTTCATTTTTGTTTGACTGATTTTTGCATGAAAGACAGGGTCTTAATATGTACATCTGGCTGTCCTGGGCCTGACTGCATAGACTAGGCTGGCATTCAACCCAGAGGCAGATATACCTGTCTCTGCCTTCTGAGTTCTGAGGTTAAAGTCATGAGCCAATACACCCAGTTTGTCCATCTTATTTTCCTTTTTTATAGTTAGTAATTGCTCATACAATTTCTCTCATGTGTACTCTGTACTGTTTATCTGTTTACTTGTCTTTCTATGTTTGTTAGTAGTCCTTTCTCTTGCAAAAACGACAGAGGTGAACCTTCTATCCAGTTTCCTTCTAAAGTGACTTGGTGATTACATTATAATGGCTATGCCATGAAATAAGTGTGGGGAGGACCAGAATTATATGACTATACTGTCAAAGAAGTATATATTTACAATGTTATCAGTATCATGTTTTCTGTTGTACACCTGTATGGGATATTTTAGAATGCAGTGACCTATGATGATGTGCATATTGACTTCACTTGGGAAGAGTGGACTTTGCTGGATCCTTCCCAGAAGAATCTCTATAAAGATGTGATGCTGGAGACTTACAGGAACCTCACTACTATAGGTAAGACTAAATTTTTCTTCATATTTTAAAATAAGAGGACAGCAAGTCCTTGATTATTGATGCCCCTCTATAATTTGATTGAGAAAGGAGAAGAAAGAGCTGAATAAATCTGGCATGGTTCTAAGGTTCAGTGAGGATAGTAACTAAAATTTTGTACAATTTTCAATTATATAACATACATTTTCTGGTATTATATTTTAGGATATACTTGGGAAGACCATAATATTAAAGAAAATTGTCAAAGTTCTAGAAGACATGAAAGGTAATTTTCATGTGCAACCTGATGCAAATGTTCCCATAAGGAAGTTGTAATATGTCCTGGAGGTTTTAAATAAAAGCAACAGTGTAAATAAGCACCATTAAAAGTGCATCAATAATTGTTACATTCTTACAAAACTGCAAACCTCAATTTTAGGTAAGTGAATTGCATTTACAAGGCATTCTTTTAAGAAAGGAGTCAAGGAAACAATGTCTTAACTGATATCACAATTTGAATCATAGCAACATTAGAGCTATGCTGTAGAACTGTCAGTTCATTTATTTCATAACACTCATATTACAAATGTGTACACATTGAAGAGTGATAAGTATATCTTCCAAACCTTCTATAAGCAAACAATCCGTAGTAAAGCTGGCATTATTCATATACTTGTGACTGTGCTGTTCAGTGAGAGTGGCAGTAAGAGTCAAGAGTCAAAAGGCAGTTGTTGTGGAGAAAACTTATTCCCTGTTCCACAAGTTTATGGGGAGAGAATGTCAAGCTGATTTCAATGTGAAAATCTTTTATTTGTTTTTCCTCCTTTACAGGGTATATCATGTGTCACAATGGAGACAAGTTATATGAGCATAGGAATATGGAAAGACATAACATACATCTCTCTCAGAACAATTAGAAGATATGTAGCAGTTGCCAGTTTGAGTACACTTGTTTTACTTGATTCAAGTATACAAGTAATTGGTTTTTCAGTTTTTTTGTTAATACATCATCAAACACCACACAAAATTCCTGTGAATACTTGGACTATGTAAATACTTTTGTTTGTCCTAGTTCACCTGGCAAATGTAGTATGACTCACAGTACAGGAAAATTGATAAATGCAATAAGGATGGTAAAGCTCTGAGTTTTCCCAGTTTTCTTCACACATGTGAAAATTCTCATATAGAAAAAAAATTCTGTAAATATGGATCTTGTAATAAAGGATCTTACCATTAAAGATGCAAAACAACTCTTAATGGAGGGGCACAACATGAGTGTAAGCACAGTGATAAAACCTTATAATCTAATTCTGTTCACAATTAGATGAAATTGTAAAATTAATTCATACAGATATAAAGATTCAACAATGTATTGTTTGTTGTAAATATTTCACATGTTTCTTTATCCTTGTAGGCAAGAAAGAAGTCAAACTGTAGAGAGACCTTCTGTACATGCTCATGGTGTAAATGCCTTTGTATATCCCAGTACTATTCAACTGCATGAAAGACCAAATACTAGAGAGAAGCCTCATAAATGCAATCAATGTGTTAAAGCCTTTGCATATTATGGTCATCTTCAAATTCATAAAAGAACACACACTGGAGAGAAACCCTATGAATGCAGTCAATGTGGCAAAGCCTTTGCATGGCACAGAAGTCTTCAACTGCATGAAAGAACACACACCGGAGAGAAACCCTATGGATGTAATCAATGTGGTAAAGCCTTTGCACAATACAGTCATCTTCAAAGACATAAAAGAACACACACTGGAGAGAAACCTTATGAATGTAATCAGTGTGGTAAAACCTTTGCTGATCACAGTTGTCTTGGAATACATAAAATGACCCACACTGGAGAGAAATCATATGAATGTAATCAGTGTGGTAAAGCCTTTGCATATTACAGTCGTCTTCAAAGCCATAAAGGAACACATACTGGAGAGAAACCCTATGGATGTAATCAATGTGGTAAAGCCTTTGCACAATACTGTCATCTTCAAAGACATAAAAAAGCCCATACTGGAGAAAAACCCTATGAATGTGCTCAATGTGGTAAAGCTTTTGCATGGCACAAAAGTCTTCAAATGCATAAAAGAACGCACACTGGGGAGAAACCCTATGAATGCACTCAATGTGGTAAAACCTTTGTATGGCCCAAAAGTCTTGAAATGCATAAAAGAACACATACTGGAGAGAAACCCTATGAATGCACTCAATGTAGTAAAGTCTTTGCACAACATAGTATTCTTCAAGTGCATAAAAGAACACATACTGGAGAGAAACCTTATGAATGTAAGCAATGTGGTAAAGCCTTTGCAGATTACAGTCGTCTTAAAAGGCATAGAAGAACACACTATAGAGAAATTCTGTGAATGTTTTCAGTGTTGCAAAGCCTTTACAGATCACTATAGTCTCCAAATACATGAAAGAGCCCATACTGGAGAGAAACCATATGAATATAAACTGTGGTAAAGGCTTTGCAGATGACAATAGTCTTCAAATACATGAAAGAACCCACATTGGAGAGAAATCCTATGTATGTAATCCATTTGGTAAAGCCTTTGTATGTCACAATGCTTTTCAATGTCATAAAAGAACACATACTGGCCAGAAACCCTATGAATGTAATCAGTGTTGTTAATCCTTTACATACCACAGTATTCTTCAATGCCATAAAAGAACACATACTGGGAAGAAACCCTATGTATGTAATCAGTGTGGTAAAGCCTTTGAATGCCCCAGTACTCTTCATATGCATAAAATAATTCATACTGGAGAGAAACCCTATGAATATAATGATTGTGATAAAAGCCTTTGCACAACACAGTAATCTTCAAAGTCATAAAAGAACACATACTGGGGAGAAAGCCTATGAATGTAAGCAATGTGGTAGAGCCTTTGTATATTACAGTCTTCTTCAGTGCCATAAAGAGGCACATACTGGGGAGAAACCCTATTAATGCAATCAGTGGGGCAAAGCCTTTGCACACCACAGTACTCTTCAAAGGCATAAAAGAACCCTTCGTGTAGAGAAACCCTATGAATGTAATGATTTTGGAAAAGCCTTTGCATGTCTTCTTACTCTTCAAATGCATAAAAGAACACATACTGGAGAGAAACCCTATAAATGCCATCAATGTGGCAGATCAAAGTACTCTTCAAAGGCATAAAAGAACCCATACTGGAGAGATACCCAATGAATGTAATGATTGTTGGTAAGCCTTTGTATGTCTCAGTACTCTTCAAATGCATAAAAGAACATACTGGAAAGAAGCCCTGTTTGTAATCAATGTAATAAAGCCTTTCAATGTTACAGTAGTCTTCAGAGGCATAAAACAACACTTAGTGGAGAGGAAATCTATGAATGAAATCAGTGCAGTCAAGCTTTTTTTTATGTGACAGTAGTCACTGAAAACATGAAAGATCCTTTACTGCAGAGAAACCCTTTGTATGTAGTCAGTGTGGTAAATCCTTTCTATGTCATAGTACTCTTCAAATGCTTAAAATAGCACATATTGGAGAGAAAGCCTTTGAATGTAATCTGTCTGGTAAAGCCTTTGCATGTATCAGGAATCTTCAAAACCATGAGAAAAAATCAAATTGCAGAGAAACCCTGTAAATGCAGTCAGTGTGGTAAAGTTTAGCACTTTATACATTAGTAAAACTCTTTGTGTGCAATCTATCTGTTTAAGCCTTTATATATTGTAATAGTCTTTGACCATGTGAAAGCCATGAAAAAGAGGGTTTCTCTTTTTATAATATTTTTAATTAAAATATTTTTCTTTCTTTTTATATACCAAGCCCTGTTCCCCCTCTCTCCCCTCTTCCCCCTGCCCCACCTCCCCTTATCCCACACCCATCCCTTTCTTATAGGGGGTAAGGCCTCCCTTAGGTAGTCAACACAGGATGGCTTACCAAGTTGGTGATGGACCTAGCCCTCCCATCCTGCATCAAAGTTGAATAAGGTATCCCACCATAGAGAATGGGCTCTAAAAAGCCAGTTCATGTACCCAGGATAAATTCTGGTCACATTGACAGTGGACCAGAAACATACCAAACCACATAGCTGGCACCCATATTTAGATGGTGTAGGGCAGTCCTATGCAGGCTCCCCAACTGCCAGTCCAGAGTCCATGAGCTCCCACTAGTTGGGTTCAACTACCTCTGTGGTTTTTCCCATCATGATGCTGAACCCCCTTTGCTCCTATAATCCTTCCTTCCTCTCTTCAACTGAACTGTGCCTTTATGTCACTTGTGTGAGGTTTCTCCAACTTCTTTATGTAGGCACTTAGTGCTATATACTTTCCTCTTAACACTGCTTTCATAGTGTCCCATAAGTGTGGGTATGTTGTGAATTTACGTCTGATGAATTCTGGGAAATACTTAATTTCTTTATTTATTTCTTCCTTGACCTAGTGATAATTCATTTGAGGATTTTTCAGCTTCCATGAGTTTGTAGATTTTCTGCATTTTGTGTTGTTGAATTCTGACTTTAAGCCATCATGGTCCGATAAGATACAGGGTTTATTCCAATTTTTTTTTTTGTTTATGTTGAGATTTGTTTGGCTATTGACTGTGTGGTCAGTTTTGGAGAAAGTTCCATGAGACGCTGAGAAGAATGTATATTTTTTTGTGTTTCAATGAAATGTTCTACAGATGTCTGATCAATCTGTTTGAGCCAACATCTGTAAGTTCCCTTATGTCTCTGTTATATTTCTGTCTGGCAGACCTGTCCAGTGGTGAGAGTTGTTGAAGTATCCCAGTATTAACATGTATGGTTTTTAACATGTGATTTAAGCTTTAGTAATATTTCTTTTACAAATGTAGGTACCTTTGTATTTGGGGCATAAATGTTCAGAATTGAGACTTCACCTTGATGGATTTTTCCTGTGATGAATATGAAATGCCCTTCTCCATCTTTTGATTGACTTTAGTTTGAAGTCTATTTTATTAGATATTAGAATAGCTACACCAGCTTCTTTCTTAGGACTATTTGATTGGAAAATCTTCACTCTGAGGTAATATCTGTTTTGAAGTTGAGGTATTTTTCTTGTTTGCAGCAGAAGGATGGATCCTGTTTTTGTAACTATTCTGTTAGCCTGTGTCTTTTTTCGGCAAAATGAATTCATTGCTACAAAGGGATATTAGTGATCAGTGATTGTTAATTCATGTTATTTTTTTTTTTTTGGTTGTAGTGTATGTGTGCGGAATTTGCTAGCATGAGTTTATGTATTGCCTGTGTTTTGGAGGTTGCTGCTAACTTCCTTGGGTTGGAGTTTTCCTTCTAGTACTTTCGGTTGGGCTGGATTTGTGGATATGTAATTTTTAAATCTGGCTTTGTTATGGAATGTCTTATGTTCTCCATCTATGGTGATTGAAAGCTTTGCTGGGTATAGTAGTCTGTGCTAGCATCCATGTTCTCATAGTGTCTGCAGAACATCTGTGAAAGAACTTTTGGCTTTGACAGTTTTCATTGAGAAGTCAGGTGTAATTCTGACAGGTCTGCCATTACATGTTACTTGATCTTTTTCCATTGCTGCTCTTAATATTCTTTCTTTATTCTGTATATTTAGTGTTTTGAGTATTATGTGGCATGTGGACGTTTTTTGTGATCTAGTCTATTTGGTGTTATGTATGTTTCTTGTCCCATCAAAGGCATATTTTTCTTTATGTTGGGAAAGTTTTCTTCTATGAGTTTGTTGAATGTTTTCTGTGCCTTTGAGCTGGATTTTTTTTCTTTCTTCTATTTCTATTATTTTTATGGTTGGTCTTTCCGTGGTGTCCCAAATTTCCTGGATGGTTTTTGTTAAAAATTTGGTGGATTTAACATTTTCTTTGATGAGTGAACCTGTTCTACCTTATTCTCATTACCTAAGATTCTCTCTGCCATTTCTTATATTCTCTTGATTAAGCTTGCATCTGTAGTTTCTGTTTGTTTACTCAGATTTTTGTTTTCCACAATTCCTTCAGTTTTTGTTTACTTTATTGCCTCTATTTCAATTTGAAGTCTTGAACTGGTTCCTTCACATGTCGATTGTTTTTTCTTCCGTTTCTTGAGTTTCTTTAAGAGATTTCTTGTTTTCCTCCAAATTTTTGTTTGTCTTTTCCTTTATTCTTTTAAAGAAAAATTTTATTTATTCTTTCAAGGCCTCTGTCATCTACATAAACTTGTTTTTAAGGGCTCTTCTGGATCATCTGATTTGGGAGGTTCAGGTCTTGCTGTTGAAGGATCACTAGGTTCTGGTGGTAGCGTATTGCTCTTTACCTTTTTATCGTGTTCTTACACTGCTGTCTATCCATTTCTTCCTTTAACCCATACAGGTGGAACTCCAGGTCTCTCTTCTTCCAATTGGTGCAGCGGGCGGTCCTGTGGCTCCTGTGGTTGCTCTTCTTCCCAATTAGTGCAGGAGGGGCATATGGCTCTGGTGGTCACTGGTACCCCAGGGGATCCTTGGTAAGGGGTGGGGGGAAAGGACTTCTACCAGGTCTCTGGGAATGCACTGACTTGGGTGGGGCAAGGAATGTACCCATGGGTCCTAAAGGCTAGAGAACTAAGCTGTCCAGTCCAACAATTTGGGTCTTACTTCTTCCCCAATTGGTACATGGAAGGGGGTCCTATGGCTCCTGTGGACACGGCTGCCAATGGGGATGGTTGGTGGGGGACGAGGCTGCTGTTCTTTCTTTTGGGCTGCCCCAGTAGGGGGAGGGGCTAGAGAACTGTGCTGACCAGTCTGGAGATTGGGCCTTACCAGTTCCTAATTGGTACAGGGGAACATATGACTTAGGAGGTCCATGGTGCCATTGGGGTTGGTTGCCTTGGTGAGAAAGAACTTCTTAATATAAAGTATTTGGTAAGTTCATTAGACAACACAATTATAATCAGTTTCCTGAGAGTACCCTGTAGAAAAAAATTTGACAGTGTCAACAATCTGTTCAAGCATTATGATCGCCATTTTTATATTGTGTGCACCAGCAATCTCATGAAAAAATGAATTTGTAACTATGTGAAGCCCTACGTGTAGAGTAAAATGGCCAGCCAAATAAACATACCCTGAAATATAGAGCCAGTGAAATATACACAATTTGGCCCTGAAACCAGAGTAAACGAAGCACTTTATCTCTGAATGCAGAGCTAGTGAAGGAAACACCCTGATCCTGAAAAGGGAACCAAAAGGGTAAAAGATACATGTGAAAGAAACACACTTTGGGCCTGAAACCCAGAGCCAAAGAAACACACTCTTGATGTGTGAGCACAAACCAATCAATCCCTGAGCTTGAATCCAACCAATCACTGAGCTTGAAATCCAGCCAATCTCTGAATTTGTTCAATCTCAGGGATGGAAATCTGACCAATTCTAACCCTGTGCCCCTAAGAAGCCCTATATAAGCCCTCTGCCTATTCAGTTGGCAGCTGCCCTATTTCATCCTGGCAGAGGCAGCCATTCTGGATTCCTCAATCACAAAGACCTTTCACCAAAGTGGATCAGAAACTCATTAGTGGATTGGAGCAGAGCAGCAATGGACACTTCTACAGGAAAACTCCCTTAAAGAATCGAAGAACTAACACCTTTTCACTGGGGACAGCTACATTTCTGCAGCAGTTTCCCCCTTATTTGACTGAAATAGAGAAGTAACAATTGTGATTGGAACTGAGAAAAAATGGACATCTCTGTTGGGCAATTCCAAAGTGGAGTGGGGTGGAGAAGCAATGGACAGCTTTGCTGGGAAACTCTTAGCACAGTAGAGCAGAGCCCAGATGTAATAGCTCTCCTAAGGCAAGGAGCAAGATTACTACATTCTACAGGGAGAGCATTAACCTCTGGAGCACAGCTTTTAGGTATAGCCTGACTTCTTACAGTCAGGGTTCCTTTTTCTTCAAAGCCCTATGTATCCAGGTTACCTTCTCTCCACTGCTTCAGATATTACTTGACTTTCTCCTCACAGCTGTAGATATCCAGGGTATCTTGTTTTCACAGCTCTAGGTATAGCCTGACTTCTGACAGTCAGGGTACTTTCCCCCCAGAGTTATAAAACTTACAATATGAATTTAAATGATAATGTAACACTTTTAGATTTTATACTTCTGTTACATTAAATGAAATAACTAATTCAGGTGTAAAACTTTATGAATTTGTATGTTTCTTTTCTGTTGTTGTGATATAATGTTTAGGTGTAGCCTGACTTCAGACAGTCAGGGTAGTTTTTCCTTCATAGCCCTTTTATAAGAGTCATCTTGTAGAAGAGTTTAATTTGGCCCTGAGTTCCAGAGAGATACAGGATCATCATAAAAGTGGCTTGGCAACAAGTGTCATACATGGCAGCAATATCTGGAAGCTAAGAACTCACATCTTAACCTTCAGCATGAAGCAGAGAGTAAGAACTGGAAATTGCATGTGTATGTAAATTCTCAAAGCCTTCCCCCAGTGTCAGATTTTTTCCAGCAGGGCAGCATTTCCAAAATGTTCCCCAATGATACCATCAAGTTAGAATGATTGAGTTCTCAGACTTCAAGCCTGTGTGCTTGCTTTCTGTTACATGAACCAATTCACAGTGAAGAAAAGCTCTGTATGTAAGCCATTCGATGCCTTAACACCTTTGTTACAGAAAGGAGTGCTTATAAGAGGGAAATTTTTGCGAGTGAAAAATTGTTTGCTTAAAAAAATTTTATTGTAATTTTGTGATGTCAGTGTGTTTTTGTGTGAGTGTGTGAATGTGCATGCCACTTCCTGAGAACATTAGACACTTGGATCTTCTTATAGCAGGGATTACAGAAAGTTGTCAAAAATCAGGCCTTGCTCCTAGAAATGAACATTTCATGACTGTCCAGCCATATCTCTAGCGATGTAAATAATTTAAATCCTATTTATATCACTTTGAAGTCAGGAAATAGGGACAAACTCATACAAGAGTAAAATCCAGTTCATGGAAACAATTTGGTAGACTCTAAACATTAGGGTTGTCTTCAGCTTCAAGAAAAAAATCATATTTCATATTCTTTCATTGTAGCCTTGACGGAAGTAAATTACTTAATGATGTTAACTCAAGACTGATGGTCAAGATCAATGCTTGTGTTTTCTATTTTGAAACATTTGAGGTAGATAATAAAGTGTGCTATGTGTGGTAAATCCATTTAGTGAAGTTTATTTTGTGTTCTTTATATTCTTTCTATGGATTTTGTTCATCTTCCATTGTGCTTTTATTTAGTATTAAGTATTTTTCTGTTGTAATGTATGAATGGTATCCCCATCATCTAAGTACAATATATATTGTTTTTCATATTTTTACAAATTCCCTTGAGATTATATTGTGGTGATATTTTTTTATACTCTAACAAATAACATTTTCCTGAAGATTAGAAGACAGGCAGCCACTAGATTAAACATAGAGGCCAGACAGTGGTAGCACATACCTTTAATCCTAGCACTCAGGAGGTAACAAGTTCAAGGGCACAAGATTAATCCAGTCTAAAAGAGAAACAGAGCCAGGTGGTGACAGCTCACACCTTTAATCCAAGTACTAAGGACCCACACACCTTTAATACCAGCACTAGGAAGGTTGAAACAGGAA